ACACGAGATGAGGCAGGATAAAGAGGGATAATCCCCCTCGATCCCAAATCATTGAGGCCAATTTCTAGCCATGGAATAATGGCGCGTGTTGGAACAGACCTAATGCAACCGTAATTATTTATTACGTCAATTTTTTTTCTACCAATCCGTCATGGATAAGAGAAGAGGAAGAAGAACAATAACTCTCTTTCATTTTTCATTGAGGTTAAGTAACGGTTTGATATTTACGTTTCAAAGAGGATTGTTGCAATGTCTGGCGTTCAAGAAACTTTGTGCGAGCTTTGCCTCAAAACTGTAACCGTAAATGGTTTTGAGGTAATAGACAACGTTACTAGAGATATTTTAGATGTTCTTTTGCTGAAATTGGTAAGTCAGTGATGGTTATGTATTACATAGTTCAATGTCGCTGATATGTATGGAAACGGTCGATTATCTCCNCGTTACTAGAGATATTTTAGATGTTCTTTTGCTGAAATTGGTAAGTCAGTGATGGTTATGTATTACATAGTTCAATGTCGCTGATATGTATGGAATCGGTCGATTATCTCCTAAAGTAACATATCTCTCGAAAAATCATAGGACACAAACGTTTTAGGGTTTTTTAAAACGATTACAAAAAAAAAATTTAAGTATGCAGGCTCAGTCGAAAAGTTAAGACGAAACAAAGTTGCTTTTTCTTTATTGGGGCACGCTGTATATTATTCCATTTTTCAATTCTTCTCGATATTCTAAACAAAATTCATATATCACATCATGCGCCTAAACTTAGCCGTTTTCGAGATATCGAACTTTGAAAATCTATTTTTTATAAATTATAGAAAAATATTTTAGTCCGTTAAGTTTATAGTCCATCAAGTTACCTTTGAAAGTTTTTAACTCCATAACNACCGTAAATGGTTTTGAGGTAATAGACAACGTTACTAGAGATATTTTAGATGTTCTTTTGCTGAAATTGGTAAGTCAGTGATGGTTATGTATTACGTAGTTCAATGTCGCTGATATGTATGGAAACGGTCGATTATCTCCTAAAGTAACATAGCCCTCGAAAAATCATAGGACACAAACGTTTTAGGGTTTTTTAAAACTATTACAAAAAAGAAAATTTAAGTATACAGGCTCAGTCAAAAAGTTAAGACGAAACAAAGTTGCTTTTTCTTTATTGGGGCACGCTGTATATTATTCCATTTCTCAATTCTTCTCGAAATTCTAAACAAAATTCATATATCACATCATGCGCCTAAACTTAGCCGTTTTCGAGATATCGAACTTTGAAAATCTATTTTTTATAAATTATAGAAAAATATTTTAGTCCGTTAAGTTTATAGTCCATCAAGTTACCTTTGAAAGTTTTTAACTCCATAACAACGCCGCGTCGTTCTTTTGTCTAATAGTGATTATCTTGAGAACACATGTCAAAAATACATTTTGTGTGAATAATTTTCTCGCAAAAAGGAACGTTTAAATGAAACAGAGCATATTGGAGTTTTAGTGATCATATGATATGGTGATGTATGAATTTTGTTTAGAATTTCGACAAGAATTGAAATATGGAATAATATACAGAAAAATTACAGAAAAAACTACTTTGTTTCGTCATGACTTTTTGACTGATCCTGTATGCTCAATTTTTCTTTATTGTAACAGATTAAAAAAAACCCTAAAACGTTTGTATTTTATGATTTTTTCGTAGCTATCTTACTTTCGGAGATATCAACTGTGCATATCAGAGACCTTGTATATATAACGTGGAAAACTTTTTGAACCTTTTGTTTAGTAGTATAATACATCTCATCTTCATTTTCAACCTCTCCACGTACCACATTCTCTGTTAAAATTAATATTATCCTGACATACTTTACAAATAAAAAATGCAAGCATATTTCAAAATTAAGATGAAAAAGGGTATTGATAATGAATTATTTAAAGAAAAGTACTGTAGGAGTAATTGTTGTTAATTCGAATTTGGTATATTTGTCAAAATTCGGTAATATGTACCATTTTCGAGGAAATTGAAGTTGCATATTTTTCAGTCATATAAAGCGGCACAAGTACATTAACAAAANGACTGATCCTGTATGCTCAATTTTTCTTTATTGTAACAGATTAAAAAAACCCTAAAACGTTTGTATTTTATGATTTTTTCGTAGCTATCTTACTTTCGGAGATATCAACTGTGCATATCAGGGACCCTGTGTATATATAACGTGGAAAACTTTTTGAACCTTTTGTTTAGTAGTATAATATATCTCATCTTCATTTTCAACCTGGCCACTACCACATTCTCTGTTAAAATTAATATTATCCTGACATACTTTACAAATAAAAAATGCAAGCATATTTCAAAATTAAAATGGAAAAGGGTAATGATAATGAATTATTTAAAGAAAAGTACTGTAGGAGTAATTGTTGTTAATTCGAATTTGGTGTATTTGTCAAAATTCGGTAATATGTACCATTTTCGAGGAAACTGAAGTTGCATATTTTTTAGTCGTATAAAGCGGCACAAGTACATTAACAAAATATTAAATTGAAAGAGGACTTTACCATTGAACGACCTGAAGACATTTAGCTACCAACATTATTTGCATTGAAGACTATAATTTTAATTTCTTACGTATCACATGAAACTGTAAAACATTTTAACTAAAAAAAATTAAAATTTATTTTAAGTTTCAGATTGTTGTAAACTAACATTTATAAAAGTAAATTAAAATAAACAAATTATGGTTCTTAATTATCTAATTTTAGAATTTGTAAACTACTACACTAACACTACTAAAATAAACAATTGTTGAAAGAAGTGAATTGTTGATGGACATGAATGCTTAAAAGAAAGTGGTAAGAACAGAAAAATAATAGGAAACAGACTTGGAGACATACAGAACAAAACAGCTGCTTTTCAGAAAGAAACCGTTTGCAAATTATTCTTAACGCACGGTTGATGTTTACTCGTGTACAAATTTTGACATTTTTATCTTTAACCGATTTAAAGATAATTAAGAAAAATCATTTGGAAAAGTAACAACTTCAACACACTGCATCTCGAAAACAGGGCGTCTAAGAAAAAAACTTTACATGAACTACCCCTATTATTTTCCCAAGAGGAACTTGCACACAAGTTTTTTTGAAACGTGAACGGGACACCCTGTATATTAGGGTACTTTGTTTGAAACGTACATTACTTTTTCGTTTTATTGACGAAATATTGTTTTAAAGATTGGAAAAAAAATTTTTTTACCAAATTTCAGTTCTTAATTTTAATTTTTGGTACTCGCTATTTAATTTTAAAATTTTCCTATTCATTTAACACATAAACCTACCGTTTTTTTTTAAATTATCTATATCTCAGCTACATTTTACGTTATCTACTTTATTGTCCATAGCCGATAATTATAGGGAAATTTTTGTTCTTTGAAAGTGTCCATAGCAGGATCTAGGTGTCTTGAAAGGTTTCACTACTAAAAAATTGTATTTTTTTTTTAATTTTATCGATTTTTTGCATTTTTCTCATAAATTACTAGACCTACAGCAAAATCGTTGATGACATTTTTACAGAAAATTAAATTTAGTATAAAAAAGTCATCAGTAACGCTGTAAAGTTATTATTTCATGAAATAAATAGATTCAAATGTGAAAAAATTTAAAAACCCCTTGTTTTATCTTTATAGAATAATTGAAATTACAGATAGAACTATAATTATCACCTATAGACAATAAAGTAATGTGAAATGCAGTTGAGATAATTTAATTAAAAAAAAATGTAAGCTTACGTGTTAAATGAATAGGAAAATTTTAAAATTAAATAGCGAGTACTAAAAATTAAAATTAAGAACTGAAATTTGGTAAAATTTTATTTCCAATTTTTAGAACAATATTTCCTCAACGGAGCAAATAAAAAAGAAATACGTTTCAAACGAAGCATTCTAATGAATATGCATACATCTCATTTCGCTCACCTCAACGCATTAGAGCGACTTAACAATAATTGATATTTTCTGCCAAAGTGATTTTCTTTCTCTTTGGTTAAAGTTACATATATTTCAGAAATTTGATAGCGAAGGCAAAGAGGTTATATGTAACGTTTGCAGAAGAAAGTNCATTAGAGCGACTTAACAATAATTGATATTTTCTGCCAAAGTGATTTTCTTTCTCTTTGGTTAAAGTTGCATATATTTCAGAAATTTGATAGCGAAGGCAAAGAGGTTATATGTAACGTTTGCAGAAGAAAGTTAAACGCAGCATTCGAATTTAAGGCAACTTGTCTGAAGACCGATTACGCAATTATTCCATATGTGGATTGTGAAAAAATGTTACAACTCGATATAAAAGATGTGTATACGAAGGAAAAGACAAACGAGTCAATGGATATTTCAGATGGTCAGAAAATATGTCGATTGTGTATGGAGCCAGTAGAAAGTGAGTATAGGTGCATTTGTGGAGAGGAACTTGAAGCTATCGAGAAATTGGCTCCTGAAATGGTACCAGTGATGGTAAATAGTTAATTTTTCGCAATTTAATGAAACTACTTTGCAGAATATAAATATCATCAAAGATCCTGTCGTATGTAAGGAATGCTTTGATTCTGTGTGCACCCACAACAGTTTCCTAAAAAATTGCTGGGAAGTACAGGAAAAAATTACAGGTATTTTTAATAACGCAGCAACAGAAAGCCAGATAGATACGTCACCATCCGATTTATTTGTTAAGACTGAAAACGAGGACAAAGAATTCAATATCAACGAGATGGAAATGTCGATCAAAGCTGAAAGTATCGACATAAAATCGGAAGATGAGGAAGGGAGGTAAGAGAAGACTATTTTAACAGTAATTTTTTTTTAATTTTTTGTATTTCTAAGGGTTTTTGCATAATTAATTTTAACATATATATTTTCAAGAAAAATATGACCTAATTGTAATAAAAAATTATTTGGTTCTTATGATAATAAAATTGAAATAATGCCCTGTGGAGTTTAAAACCATATAACTACATTTGGAATAACCTATAACCCCTTAGAATTAACACCGCACTTTGGAAAATACCCTGTATATGTAATTTTTTCAGCGACTCGACACTGCAGACCTCCGATAGTGAATCATTCGAGAAGAGTGTCCTTAGAGATGCAGAAGAGGATGAATGTAAACATGAGAATATATCCATAAACGAATGTAATACGAAAGTCAAGCAGGACGACAAAGTATTTTACAAATGTGATAAACGTATTTACAAAACTGGAAGCAAAAGCCATTTTATATCACACCGTGCTGAAGCATATAAATGTGAATGGTGTGAGTATGTAACTGAAAATAAAAAATTTTTTCAGAAACACCGGTTGAAGCATAGTGATCCTTCGGAAACGCGTATGCATCGATGCGGATCATATGATTACAAGACAAGGCACAGGTGTGAGCTTACTAAGTCTCCGGTGAAACACAAAAGCGCATCTGAACGGCGATTGTATGAGTGTGGTGACATTTGTGATTTCAAGGCAAAACGGGAGGTCAGTTGTAATAGTCATTATATAAAACATAAAAACTCTAACAATTGTGTAGAATGCGACTATAGAACCAAATACACCGCATTAACGAATAAGGACAGTTTACAACTACCCATTTATAAATGTGACGGTTGTACATACGAATCAAAGAATAAGACAAATTTTACCAGACATCAGTTGATACATAAAGATCCTTCGCAGGTGCAAATGCACAGGTGTAAGGACTGTAATTATGAATCTAAATGCAAGCAGAGTATCAAACGGCATCAACTAAAACATAAGGATCCTTCGCAGGTCAAAATGTACAGGTGTAACAACTGCAATTACGAAACTAGATACAGGGATGTTATGACAGATCATCAACTGAGGCATAAAGATCCTTCTAAAGTTCAAATGTATAGGTGTAATGACTGCGATTACAAAACTGTATCCAAGAGAAATTTCACAAGGCACCAATTGAAACACAAAGATCCTTCGCGGGTTCAAATGTACAAGTGTAACGACTGCGATTACGAAACTAAATACAAGCGTGTCATCAAACTGCATCAATTGAAACATAAAGATCCTTCGCAGGTTCAAAGGTACAGGTGTAATGACTGCGATTACGAAACTAAATACAAGGGTGATATGAAAAATCACCAACTGAAACACAAAGATCCTTCTCAGGTTCAAACGTACAAGTGTAATGACTGTGATTTCGAAACTAAATACAAGAGTTATATCAAACGGCATCAACTGAAACATAAAGATTCTTCCCAAGTTCAAACGTACAAGTGTAACGACTGCGATTACGAAACTAAATGGAAGGGTGTTATCAAACAGCATCAACTGATACATAAAGATCCTTCTAAAGTTCAAATGTACAGGTGCAATGACTGCGATTACGAAACTAAATACAAGAGTCACATCAAACAGCACCAACTGAAGCATAAAGATCCTTCTAAAGTTCAAATGTACCGGTGCAATGATTGCGATTACAAAACTGTATACAAGGAATATTTCACAAAGCACCAACTGAAACATAAAGATCCTTCGCAGGTTAAAATGTACAGATGTAACGACTGTGATTATGAAAGTAAATACAAGAGGAATATCAAAGGGCACCAATTGAAACATAAAGATTCTTCCCAAGTTCAAATGTACAGGTGTAAGGACTGTGATTGCGAAACTAAATACAAAGGTCACATGAAAAGACACCAACTGAAACACAAAGATCCTTCGCAGGTTCAAATGTACAGGTGTAATGACTGCGGTTATAAAACTATATACAAAAGATATCTCAAATCGCATCAACTGAAGCATAGAGATCCTTCTCAGGTTTGAAACTAAATACAAAAGTTGCATGAAAGGGCATCAACTGAAACATAAAGATAAGGTGTACCGACTGTGACTATGAATCCAAATGCAGGAGAGGTATAAAATATAACAGGTTGAAGCATAGAGAGCCTTCACGGGTGTACGAGCATGCAAAGGTGTGTCGCAGATTCAAATGCATCAATGTGATCCCGAAATCACACATAAGAAGTCTCTAAGGAGATATCTGCTGATTCACAAAAAACATTTGTGGGTGTCAAGTATGGCCCATTGAAGCGCAAAATCCAGTTAAATATGGAGGCATTTAAGAGACCGACCATAAATATGCGAATGTGTAAAATGTAAAGCCTATCGTGAAAAACATCGGTTCAAACACAAAACTCTCACCGAAACACAAAGAGACAAGTGATTTTGGACTAGCGCTTTTGTGACAATGCATTAAAATGAATACTTTGTAATATGCACCTGCTTTTTTCTATGTTTAAAGATGTATCTTTTTCGTTATCAATATTCAGGGAGAATGTTAAATGTGTACATGTGTATTTTAAACAACTTCAAAAAACATTTGGAACAAAATAAATATGCATTGGTTTTCTTAATAAAAAATGGTTGAGAACTGCTGACTTGGCCGTGATATTTATGCGTTGAGAGATCAAAATTTCTGTGTTGCCGATGTCGTATAGACTTGTAAACTCAACTCTTTAATGAACTAAGAAGAAATAAATAAATTAAGTATTGGTTTAGATGTAGGAAATTTTGAAATATTTTTATAAGAATGTTCAAAGCCTCCTTCTCTGGCCATTCCTATGCAGGGGTGGTTTTTAGCAATACTGTCTGTCCCCTTTTTCACTTCTAGCTTAAAAACACGGTATTCGGTTGTCCACATGATTTTTGAGACGAGTGTTGCGGTAAACCAGAAAGCAGTAGTGGGAAGTTTTTTATTTTATTTAAATTGTATTTGCATAAAATCAATTCACCCTTCCAGCCTGATATTCATTATTCGTCCTGCCCTAAATTAATTATTTGTGTTGTCCTTACGAGTAGGAGTTGTGTACATGTGGATGGGAAGATTATTACCGCTTTGGCACGAGAAGCTGTCGGCTAAACGAATTTTGCAGTAACCACCTTCATTTTCTATGCTTAAATAAGGGTTTATTTGATACATTTATTTTTTTGACCTCTTTAATTTTTATATGTTGTAATGCGCCCGTCGCAATACCCCGGGCATAGTTGTTAAGTAGTTGTAAAATAGATTGTAGTTGTAAAATAGATTAGTTGTAGATATTAAGTGGTGGGTGTAAAGTGCGCGAGTAGAAGAGAAAAACGAGGAATAGGAGGCGGGGAGATTGACGGAAAAAAAGAGGAAAAGTGAGGGGATTGACGGAAGAGAGGTGAAATGAGGAGCCTGGAGGAATCAGCTGCTCTGTTGCTTTGAATAGCTTCTCCAGGAGATTGCGGACATTTGAGATCCTCCGGGAAAGCCTAAGAGGTGGTCGCTGCGGAGTGAACAGTATTCCCCTCGTCGCCAGCCCGCCGTGCCCTGGATACTGCCTGCAGAACAGGATTTAAGGCTCTAAGGTCAGACATCTGTTGCTGTGTCAATACACGAATTTTCCCATTTCGTTTGGAGACTTTGTCAACTAATAAATATAGTGATTTGTTACGTATCAGTTTTTTCTGTACCCACACCGATTTATTAATAATTGTAAACCTGAACCCATAGGTTTAGGGAAGCACAATGTACACATTTAAAATTAACCCTTTGTNATGTTCAAAGCCTCCTTCTCTGGCCATTCCTATGCAGGGGTGGTTTTTAGCAATACTGTCTGTCCCCTTTTTCACTTCTAGCTTAAAAACACGGTATTCGGTTGTCCACATGATTTTTGAGACGAGTGTTGCGGTAAACCAGAAAGCAGTAGTGGGAAGTTTTTTATTTTATTTAAATTATATTTGCATAAAATCAATTCACCCTTCCAGCCTGATATTCATTATTCGTCCTGCCCTAAATTAATTATTTGTGTTGTCCTTACGAGTAGGAGTTGTGTACATGTGGATGGGAAGATTATTACCGCTTTGGCACGAGAAGCTGTCGGCTAAACGAATTTTGCTGTAACCACCTTCATTTTCTATGCTTAAATAAGGGTTTATTTGATACATGTATTTTTTTGACCTCTTTAATTTTTATATGGTGTAATGCGCCCGTCGCAATACCCCAGGCATAGTTGTTAAGTAGTTGTAAAATAGATTAGTTGTAGATATTAAGTGGTGGGTGTGAAGTGCGCGAGTAGAAGGGAAAAACGAGGAATAGGAGGCGGGGAGATTGACGGAAAAAAAGAGGAAAAGTCAAGGAATTGACAGAAGAGAGGTGAAATGAGGAGCCTGGAGGAATCAGCTGCTGTGTTGCTTTGAATAGCGTCTCCAGGAGATTGCGGACATTTGAGATCTTCCGGGAAAGCCTAAGAGGTGGTCACTGCGGAGTGAACACTATTCCCCTCGTCGCCAGCCCGCCGTGCCCTGGATACTGCCTGCAGAACAGGATTTAAGGCTCTAAGGTCAGACATCTGTTGCTGTGTCAATACACGAATTTTCCCATTTCGTTTGGAGACTTTGTCAACTAATAAATATAGTGATTTGTTACGTATCAGTTTTTTCTGTACCCACACCGATTTATTAATAATTGTAAACCTGAACCCATAGGTTTAGGGAAGCACAATGTACACATTTAAAATTAACCCTTTGTCCTATGTAATTTATAATTTTCATTTGATTTTTCGTAATTTGTGTAGGGGGAACGGTATTACAAGTGCAAAGAAACGTTATTGTACTAACACTGTTATTGCCTATTGTATTTTATTAGTATTATTTTAAGGGAAAAATATAGGTTTAAATCTTTAGCTTTTATTGTGCACTATTATACGATTATACATATTTATGTATGTAGCATTAAATTAATTAAATATAATTTCACATTTGCATAACAGTGTATTAATGTGTTTAAAGGAGCCCTTTACTTTTGTTTATTTTTACACAGTTTTTGTTCTTGTGTACATAAAAATCTGCAAATTGATCTGATCCAAAATGATAACTTCTGTTCCAGAATTGTAGGAACTACGTAATAAAATCGTGACGAGAATTAGATTTGTAGCGCCATCTTTCGGATAAAAATGGTACTAATATGTAATACTTAATAAATATTACAGTATGCTTTAAATTTATAGGCGGTCATTGATTGAAATATTCAAGGCGGTCTACCATTATTGATAGATGGCGCTATCTACTTGGCAAAAGGGGAAGACGTAATGATTCATAACTCCGCGCTAGCCTAAGGGCCACCTTAGCAAAGCGCAACCCAGGCTGCATAGCCGCACTGCCCTACCCAACCATACCACACCACACATAAATATGACACAACCCCCGGGGTTTACACAGACGAGCCGGCGAAGCAAGAAGAGCGCCAGAAGAAAGGGCCCTAGCCGGCGGGGCCCAGCCAGGACAAAAGGAGGTCCCACAAAGCGCCTACACCGGCCGCATTTGCGGTCGGGGTAG